CCACTAACGAGGTTGATATAGTGTAGTCGTGGCCCTGAACTGGTGAATCACACCGACAACAACATTATGCCCTCGCAAGGGGGGTAGAATGTGTACGTTGTGGTCTCGCTAGCACTCACCCAGGAAGCCAATCTCAAGTGACGATGTAGAAGTAGCCACATCTTACAACAGAATGACCACCCGCTTAAGCGAGCTAGTCAAGCCACATGTCGGCTAAACAAAATTATGGAGAGTGGACCGCGAATCGCTCCCAGAGCCTAAGGGCTAAGGTGCCGAGCTGATAAAAGACCTCGGCACAACATAAGACCCAGTCGCCTCTTCGGCATGGGCAAAATCAAGGATAAGGAGAGTGGAATGCGAGTCGCTCCCAGAGCCCAAGGGCTAAGGAGCCGAGCTGATAAAAGACCTCGGCACCACATAAGACCCAGTCGCCTCTTCGGCATGGGCAAAATCAAGGATGAGGAGAGTGGACCGTGAGTCGCTCGCAGAGCCCAAGGGCTAAGGTGTCGAGCTAATAAAAGAACTTAGCACCACATAAGACCCAGTGGCCCAAGGGCCAAGTCGGTAGCACCAGCCTCCTCATCGCCGCCCTCCTCTTCGGAGTCTGGGTTATCCAAGGCCTGGCGGGCCATGTCGTCTGTGATCCTCCAGGTGGTGATGACACTTGTGTCGAGGTCGGGGTATGCATGCCTTATCAACCACTTGCTGAGCTTAAACCCCCTACGGTAGACCTACAACATCACGTCGTCAAACCTAGATGACTTGACGTAGTCGATGATGGCTTGGACCTTTGTCTCCCTGAGAACTTGATCGAAGATCTCGGTCTTTTCCTTAATGTCAGCTTTGAGGTACTCTACCTCGTGCTCCAGGGCCCCCTTGGCTTCCTTAAGTTTCTGCACCTCGAGCTACGAAGCCTCCTGACCCGCCTTGAGGCTCTCCATCTCGAGCTTTAAGGCCTCCTGGCCTTTTCTGAGCCTGTTCACCTCAGCCTTCAGCCTGTCCCTCTCGCAGGCTAGCTCCTCCTTCTCTGACAACAGAACTTCAATGAAGCTCTTCTGAGCTGCAGCGTCACCTTCCAGCTGATGGATCTTACACCGAGCTGCCCTCAGGTCAGTATGAGTTGCGCGAGATGACTCCTTAGCAGCCAAAGCTTGCTTCAGATATTTGTCAGACTGAAGGGTCAACGGGTGCATGACGGTGTTCACCTGGCAAAAGGAGGTCGGTCAGTACCAAAGAGAAAAGGACGAAAGAATGGGAAAATGATGATTCTTAGAGTGTGAACTCACCACCATAGCATAGTTGCAGCGCGGGCCCCAAGCTGGCCAGAGGTGAGATCGGCCCAGTCTGTAACCTCTACGGGGTAGACAACCTCTTTACTTTTTTGGAGGCTACACTAGGGGATCAGGATGCTCTCCTCCTCCTCCTGGCTCCCCGAGCTGGACACCGCCGTCTCAGCAAAATGATGAGCCGATTCTTCGGAAGCCTTAGCAGCAGCTTCGGCGGGATTAGGAGCTTCGGCAGCAGCCCCAGTTGGCTCAGCGACCGGCTCTGCCGCCACCTTAGGCTCCTGAGATGGTAAGTCCCCCTCCAAATCTATCACTGGAGGGGCATTAGGGAGCTCGGGCTTCGAGATGGGAACTTGTGGGAGCCCAGGCCCCGAAGAAG